TCCCTCATCTTCTTTGATTCCCTCTTTCCCTCTCTCATATGCATTTTCCCCCAGGGATGTCCTGACCCGATTGTCACCGGTTTGTCTCTGAGAAGCCATGGGTCTCGCCCCTTGACATCACACAGTGAGGGCGCATCTGGGCTGTCACGTGAGCTCCAACGGCTCGAGCGGAAGAAATCGCCCGTTTTTTCCATCAAGACGCTAAGAGGTAAGCGGGTTGGGTAGACTGCATGGAAAACTCGGGGTCTGCCCACAGGCACGCGAAAGGAAAGAGAAGGCTCAAACACGTCTTAAGAACCACGTTTCCCGGACGTGGACAGATTTCTGACCTTCAGCCGGCGGTCCGGGTCTCCACTGCATAGGGAGTTGACTGAGACTTTGAACGACTTCCAGGCTGGGCTTAAGTTATTCATCACCACCTGGGGAAAGAAAGAGGAGGCGTGGGTGGGGAAAGCCTGGGCACCGTCACATTTCAACATGGACATGCCCGAGAAAACATGCTGACGCTCAGGAAAAGAACAGTTGCTGGAACCGATGAAAACCTGCAGTGGTAAGTCTTCGAAGGGGGCCCGCCAAGCAGGCCATTATGAACGGAACTTCTGGGCCCACTGTCCCGGCTGCTGCCTCACGAATAATGACAGTAATATCTTCCAGCATGTGGACACCGAGGGTGGTCCCTTCTGTATCAACAGGGGCTGACATTTAAGAACCAGGGCGGCTGTGGCCCGGGATGGAGGCCCTCCAGTTTGGCGGGACTGTCGGTCTTGCGGCAGAGATGCCCTTCTCTTGAGGTCAGCAAAGGTCAAGGCTCTCAGCAGGGGTGGAGAGCATGGCAGGACACATCTACCCCGAACACCTGGACAGTCCTTGGTCATCTGTGACCTTGAGTCCCAACTGGTTGTGAGGCAAAAGAGAAGTTTTCAGAAGAAAAATCCCAGGAACACGCTCACACTAACTCATCACCACCCCAGTTAGAACATCCTGGAAGGGCGCAGCAGGGCAGACCTTCAGACCGCAAACCTGCTAGAAATCAGAAGGCGGCTAAAATCCTGCCCGACTCCAGGCGCGTCAAGTTGGACCTGCCATCATGAGGAGTCAGGTAATTCCATCTGGGTCAGCGTGTGTGAGCTGCTGCTCTGTGCCAGCCTTTCGCTGTGTACCCTGGGGTAGGGCTGTGTTCCTGAACCAGCAGGGGTTGCACCGCCAGGGGAATTCTTAAATACCACGCCCAAGGGACGCGCCGGGGTGGGCCCTGAGGTGATTTCGAGGCAGGGAGTTTGAGAACCACGGTTCTAGGGGACATGAACACAGCTTGGTGGAATTCTGGCACACTGATTTCTCCTTATGAAGCTTTAGCGAGCAGATGTCTTAGTGTTTAAAAAATATAGTTCCCTATCCAAATAACATAATTATTTTATAAGCAATTCCCTCTTCGACTGGATTCCTTAACCTAACTATGAATTATTGATTAGATCGTGGGCTCATTCTTGTTTTCTCTTCATGAATGCATTGAAGTCGAGAACTGACGCTTCTGCGCAACTTTGTCACGTTGCCACTACCCTGAAAATGATGAAAATAATTGCAAGAAAGAACATGAGACAAAATTGTTGGGATTAATTTAAATTTCTCACCCTTCTATGACAATGTTAAAAAGTGAAGAAGTTTTACGGCAACAGTTTTGAAAAGCTTGACAGCAAGCAGAAATTTTCCCTGAAATTTAAATCTGTGTGTTTTGTGTATGTGCGTGTTGCCCCTAAGCACACAGAATTGCCTGGTGTTTATTTTGTGCCCACTGAGGAAGCAAGAAAAATCAATGCTATGTTGCTTGGCTTATTGGGAAACTTTGCAGCTGTGTTTCTTGTGAGACTCTGGGACCCCACAAGGGGGGAGGTTCTGGAGAATCGTGGGGATAGGAGGGTTTGCTAGTATAACCATGAGAAGAAGGACACTGTTGGGAGCCAAGGAGGGGCGGGCCTTGGAGGAAGGCGTGGGCATGAACAACCATTTACCATCTGTCCGCCCAGGTGAAAGCCCCCGTTCACTGGCTGGACCAAAGGATGAACGGGGCCACTTCTGATTCTCGCAAGAATTTACTTGCTTCTCCCCAAAGCAGCTTACTTCTTCAGAGGAGTCTTCTCGGATGAAGGACTCTCCCGGGCGCCACTCAGCGCGGTGGTGCTGGCTGTGCCTCAGTCTAGTCTCCAGAGAACCACGCTGTTCCCCAGCACGCAGGACACATCCTGCTTACACCCAACTCCATTCGGTTCTTGATTCTTTTATTAAACGGGGTTTATTAGGTGCCAACTATGTGTGAGACGATATCCACAACTCGTCCACCCAAGGCTATTTAAGGGTCGCCTACCATAAGAAGGACATGAAAAGGCTTCCTCCCACCACCTGAAATCTGTTACTTCAGGAAGATGGGTGGAGTTCTCCCTCTGGGTTGGTGGGAACTGGCACACCCACCACCCACCGGGAAAGTCATGGGTTCCTTCTTTCTCTGCCCCATCAGGGGCACAAGCACATGGGTCCCTCTCAGCCTCAGGTCACCCAGCACCAGAAGGCGAGCACTCTGGGCCCCCCGCTCCGGGTCACCCAGCAGCGTGATGTTGCTCCCTTTTTCCCAGTGCATCCCCACCCTGCAGAGTCCCTCTTGGACGGGCTTTGAAGGAAGAGAGAGCTGCAAATGGAAGCCTGGGTTGGCAGCTGGACGTGCGGGTGGTAGTGGGCAGCAGGGGCAGAGGGAGGGATAGGTCAGGTCTCCTTGGAGAGAGGGGAGGGAGGGGACAGAAGTTGCAGCTGGACCAGCGGCGCAGAGGCAGACCGCTGTCTCAGCACTGACCTCAGGCCAGCACCAGGCCGGCGGACGCTCCTTCCCCGGGGGCAGAGGGGCTTCCCTGGCCGCAGCGATGCTCAGAGCCCTCAGCTCTACCCTTCATGAACTGAGAGAGCTGAGAAAGTGACCCACCCTCCCTGAAGTTCAGTTTCCTCACCTGGATCGTGGGGCGATCATCCCCAGCATCGTGTCGTGGAACCGGTGAGGAGGGAACACATGAATGCGTGTAAATCGCTTGGTGCAATGCTCTGTGCCCAGCCACCGTTTAATGTGAGCTAGTCTTCACGTTTTTATGACTAGCAAGTGGGTGTCTGTACTGAAGGTCAACAATAGAAAGCTGGAGTTACAGAGGGGCTCCTCTTTTAACCGTTAAGTTGATAATTAAAAGGAGAAAAGCCAACTTGGGCAGCGTCCTCGCAGAGGCGGGGAGACCCCAGGCCTGCGTGCACATCCGCCGGCAGGAAGAACTGCGGGGCACCTCCCCACTCAGGCCCTCTGCCGTCTCGGGAGTCACACCGGACGAGGACGCCTCTGCTTACCTCTGTCCGGTGCACCAGCTGCTGGGTCGCGTCATCATTCATACGGAAAATCTCCAGAAACGGGTCAGATTTGCTGAAGAAATCCTGAAACAGATGAGCAGCAGTCAGTGATTGTTTCCCTGCTTGGACTGGTCCTGGTCTGTCAGGAGCTCTGATCAGCTGGAAGCCCTGCTGGTCGCCAGCTGTCCCAGGTGGAACAGAGGCCAGGCTTGGCATCTCTCCCACCCCCGCTCCGCCCTGCTCTCTCCTCCCTCCAGTGGCAGGCAGCACCCGGCTCGGCGTTGTTTCTGCTCCCTGTGCCTGTAATGAGCTGCATCTGAACGCTATGTCCTTTGTACAGTAAGGACTTGGTTGGTTGGAATCCAAAACATCCTTCAAAGATCCATCCAAATGCCAGCTCTTTGAGAGTCAATGTACCTGTTGTCCTAGACAGACCCATTAGAGTCATTAGAAAGTCTAGGTGATGATGACAGTATCTGGGCCCCCCATGGGTCTGTTTCTAGGATCTGTTTCTTGGTCTGCCTCTTGGTGTGCCTGTTTATTTTTGAACTAATTGCAGACCCTGTGTAAGAAAGGTCGCAAAGATTTTAGATGTGTCTCTAACTTCTAGCAAGCGTTTAGCACAGGGGCCATCTCCTGCGTTCCATCGGGATCAAGCTTTTAGAGGCTGGGTTTCTCCGAATGTGTTTAAGGCCCATGTACTTCTGATTCCCTTACTGTAATCCTCGGGGGCTTGAACCGTGTCTTCAATGCCAGTTCTCACCAGTGAGACTCTCAAAGGCTCTGTTTACCTCCCAACCTCTTGGCTCTAAGTTTCTGTTCTGCTTCTCTCTATGCTGTTTGCTAGTCAGTAAATGCCTGGAGTGGGTAAGCCACTCAGACTGTGGGATGACTGCCTGTCCCTGGGGCATCTAGGAATCTTTATCCCTAGCTCTCTCTGTAGTCCTGAACCTCAGGTTTTCTTCTTCAGTCCCAGGAGACCGCCAGAATCGCTGCTCAGTTTCTCTGCTTCTTGGAAGTTGTTCCCACTAGGCTTCCCAGCCTCTCACTCCACTGTTTTAGGAGTCAGCCTCCAGGTATGGCCTCGGGCGGAAAACCTGCACCGGAGGCCTGAATCCGCTCTGTCATTTCTCATCTCTCTCTCTCATTTCCTGGCCCCGCAACTTTTCACTCTTAGGGCCCCAAGCAGATGTGTCTTATCTGTTGTTCATTGCTGTTTTCAGTGGGAGAACGATGCAACACAAACAAGCGTTTTGTTGTTGGAAACAGAAGCTGTCTCCATCCTTTTGGTTTTTGCCCTAATAGGTTATAAGTTCTCAGAGAGGAGAAACTTGATTCATTTTCCACTATATTGCCACAATTTCCTCAGCATCTTCCAGTGTCTAGATTTTAGTAGTACATAGTGCTCATTGAACGGATGGACGGGTATGTGAATGAACGAGGGGACGGGTATGTGAATGAATGACATGGACACCTGTGTGGAACAGGAGGGTGTCTGAGCAACAGCCTTAGTCATCATACTCTTGTTATGCGTTTCACCAGGTTGTTCTTTTCAGAAATCTAGACTGCAGCCAAGCAGAATTCAGCCTCTATTTGCCCGTGGCTCTCTGCTTTGCCTCCTGGAGGGGACTGCTGTGCCCTCAGGCAAGGTGCTCAGGAATTGTGCTCAAAAACTGCCAACCACAGTGGAAGAGCTATACCGATCATTTTTCTTTTTCCTTTTCATTGACAATATAAAACTTTTGAACCAATGTTTTTGTGTAGAAATGGAAAATATGGAGAAATAGAAAGATGACAGATATGGAAAAGAGAAGACATCACCCATAGTCCCACAGTCACCAATTGTTTTTTGGGCAATCTTTTCCTAGCATCCAGATGTACTTTCTTCCTTCCTTGAAAAAAACTATCATCATAATCTAGATACCATTGAGTATCCTACTCCTTTTCCTTGTAGTATATTGAAAGCTGCTTCTGTTTTACTTTGTATGCCTTTAGAATGTCCCTTAGGATTAGCAAGGCTGATGTCAGAAGGACATTCTGTAAACCAGGGAGGGAAAGACCAGATGCAGTCTCTGTCTTCAAGGAACTGCAAGTCCACATGCCGCTCTCTGGCTCGAGCACAACTTCCCACCCCAGCGCCACTGCACGTTATCTGGGTGAGGGCGGGCAGGTTGCCTGATGTCTCCAAGCCTCTCCCATCCATAAATGGAGCGTGCCGCCCTTTGCCTCCTAGCCACTCAGAGCAACTGGCAGAGCTGGTGCCTGGGAAGCGCCGAGTCCAGTGGCACGTGGTGAGCACTGTTGTGACGGTTGCCAAGAGGAGAGAAAACGCAGGAAGACACTCTGCAAAGCACCATACAAATATCAGGGGTGGATGGCACTAGGGAACTATCTGATTTCCAGAACAAAACAGCTCATGAGCAGCTCAAACATGTTAACTGCACACTCGGAAACTCACAGCTTTGGCACACCCACTCTGGGTCTAGCTGTGTGGCCACTTGGCTCTGGAATTCTCAGCTTTCTTGGCACCACCAACAGCATGGAGGCGGCCACTGGGACAGTCTGTGCGGTGAAGATGAGAGTGCTGGGCATTGCACCAAAGCTGGGAGTGGAGAAACTCTTTAATCGCTTGGAAGCCATATTGCTCTGCCCTTTCAGTCCAAATGGGGAAGAAGTGAGGTCAACAGGAGGGGGTCAGGCGGTCAGGAAGCCACACAAGCCCCTGGTAGAGATGCTGACCTTGGGGTCCTGGCCCAGAAGGCACCGTCTAAAGATGCAGAGTGCCAGGCACGCCTACAGTGAGTTCACCCTCACTGCCTTCATCCGTGAAATGGAAATAAAAATGCCTGCCTTTGAGAATACGGATGCAAGTCTGGGGACACTGTAGGTTAGACCCTGACGCCGGGCGCACGAGGGACGCTCAGGAGTGATCGCGTTCTGTCAGGAACGCAGACTGGACTACGGCCCCCAGGCAGGCGTGCGGGACCGCGGTGGAGCCACCGCACAGCAGGCAGGGACTCACATCGCTTCAGAGCAGGGGTCCACCAGCGACGGCAGGGGAGCTGGAGCTGGCCCCTGTCTGCCCCGTGATTCAGGTGGCCTTGGAACCCGGTGGTGCCTTCTTTACGCATTGTGCACGGCTGCGTCCGGGCTTCTGGGGCAGAGCTGAGGAGTGGGGACGGCGGCCCCTGGGGACTGGCCAGGTGGCCCTTACAGGGAGTCTGCTGGCTTGCCTACTGACCCAGCACCCATCAAACCAGCATCACGGGTCGCCGAGATGCCGTCTATGGTGATACTTCCACAGGCGGGAAGGTCGCTGAGAATCAGACCCCACACACCACGGACCTCTCCCGACCCCTCCAGTCTGGCAATCGCTTTCCTCTCTCTCCTGACTCGTTGGATTGATTGCCAGCTGCCTGCTTTTGTCATAAATGTGCCTTACGGGTCAGGACATCTCTCTCTCCACCACGTGGGCCACTTTCTCATGAGACAAGCAGTTCTTTCTCCTCAGCCTGATCCATTTTGTGTCCTGGTCCTCGTGGAAGAGCCTCTCAGGCTTTGTGGCTCTGGGCTTCTGCTCCGGGGAGGTGTTTGCCGGTCTGGGACAGGCAAGCTAAAAACGACGATTTCTGTCCCAAGGAAGAATCTGGATTTCTCTGTCACTGTGGTTTGCAAAAGACTTAGTGACCCTAGTTGACCTTACTTTGGTGATGCTTGAACATTTCATCTTAAGACCCCTTTGCGTTCTTAAAAATCATTGAAGACCCCAAAGAGCTTTTGTTTGTATCAGTGACATCTGTTCACATGTACCATAGTATAAAACTGACAAATTTTAAGCATATTCACTTATTATGCTTTTAAATAATAAAAAGAAGTCCATTAAATCATAATAAAAATAGCATTTTAATGGAAAATAATTATATTTTCTGACTTTAAAAAATAGAATGGCGTTATTTTACATTTTTACAGATCGGTTCAGTGGCTGGCCTAAAAGAAGGCGGCAGGAGTCTCGCGTCTGCTCCGTGTTCCGTCTTGGGGGACAGCAGGGTTCGTATGGCCTGGGGAAGCCCCGCTGTGCACGTGTGAGCCAACAAGAGGAAGAGAGAAAGCTGCGTCTTGACACGATCATGGACATAGTACTGACCTCACAGACTCCCCGGGAAGGCCTGGGACCGCGCCCCTCACCACGCACACCCTTATGTCCCGCCCCGGCTTCCCACGTGCTGAAGAACACGGAGCGTTGCCAAGCCTTCCACGTCACGAGACACGTCCGGTTTTGCCCTGGCAGAAGATGTGCGTCCGGCCAGGACCATGTGGAGGCCCCCTCTGGCACCAGCGCTTAGGTAAGGGTGTGCCATGTGTCCTCCACATCGCCGAACCTCAGTTTTCTCATCCGTAAGGCAGCTGGACTCAGTGGTGCCTTTGCCCCAGGGGGTGGATTCCTGTGGTCTCCGGAGCTGCGCGAGGGGACTGGGGTCCAGACAGCCTCAACCATCGTCCAAACGGGCTGTGGCATTCGTCCCTGCCTGCTCACACTGCAACTTAAAAATGCGTGCAGACAGTAGTTTGAGGGTTTCTGTGTAGGTCTTGGATTCATTTAGAGTTGACTTTTGTATATGGTCATGGGTAGGGGTCCTGTTTCATTCTTCTGCATGTGGTCAGCCAGTTTTCTCAGCACTATTTGCTGAACAAGTTCTCCTCTCCTCAGCGGTGGTTGTGGTCAGTGGCTTTGTCAGAGATGAGTTGGTTGAGAGATCGAGTTTTTGCTTCCGGAGTCTCCATCCTGTTCCATTGGTCTATATGCCTGTTCTTGTACCAGAACCAGGCTGTTTTGATTCTCGCAGCCTTATAGTGAAGCTTAAAATCTGGAAGTGTGATGCCTCCCACATTGTTTCTTTGGCTGAGGGTTCTATTCGTGCTTTTTTTGTTTCCAAATAAACGTCTGCATTGTCGCTTCCAGGTCTGAGAAGAGTGATGATGGTAGCGTGGTAGGTGTTGCGTTGAGTCTGTAGGCGGCCTCGGGTCGGAGGGACACCTTGGCAACACGGATTCCTCCAGGCCAGGAACGTGGAATATTTTTCCATTTGTTTGTGTCCTCTTTGATTTCTTTCAGCAGCGTTTTAAGAGCAGGCAACCGACGTATGAAAAAAAGCTCAGCCTCACGAGCCATCAGAGAATTGCAAATCAAAACCGCTCTGAGATACCGCCTTACCCCCGTAAGGATGGCCATCATTAATAAATAAAAAAACAACAGATTCTGGCTCGGGTGCAGAGAAAAAGGAATGCTTCTACACTGCTGATGGGAGTACAACAGTCCAATCTCTATGAAAACAGTGTGGCAATACCTGAGGGAACTAGAAACTGACCTTCTCTACAATCCAGCAATCCCTCTCCTGGGAATATACCCAGAGGAACACAAATCGCTCTACCCCAAAGACACCTGCACATGCATGTTTATTGCCGCACTATTCACAAAAGCAAAAGCGTGGAACCAACCTTACTGCTCATTGAAAGTGGACTGGAGAAAGAAAATGTGGTACATGTACACGATGGAACATTACACAGCCATAAAGAAGGACAAAATCATGAACTTCACAACGACTTGAATGGACTTCGTATCTATAATACTCAGTGACCTATCCCAGAGACAAAGAACTGAGTATCACATGTTCTCACTCACACATGGGACCTAAGCCTTCATCACGATAGCCCAAGGGCACGATCGGCTGTCGTGGGACACTGGCCGGGGAGCGGGGCGGGGCACGTAACCACACAGGGTACCGGATCCGGAGCTGGGGAAGTGAGGACCGGACGAGAAGGGAGGCCCAAACTTCACCCGCACGTACATTACATGTATCCCTAACCCTGACTTGTACGCCACGTCTTTACAGTAAAATAAAGTTAAGAAGAAAAGGAAAAAAGGCAGCAGCTCAGGAAGTCTTCACACAACCCACTTCCGTGACATGATTCTGCCACCCCACCCCCATCAAGGGCATTTTAAAAAGTCCACGTGCGGTTAGTTTATAAAGATAAAGTCTCTCCTGGGGTCTCCAGGCAGAACATGTGGCCCCTCCAGGAGGCTCTGGTTACATATCACTTCCCATGTCCTGTTATCTGGAGTCTTCCTAGAGCTTTCTGGTGTGTCTGGCTCTCTCGGATGATGAGCTCCAGGTCGTGCATCTGGAAGGGGTGAGTCTCTTGCCCAGCCCGTCACATGCAGCAGACACCCAACCAGGGCTCGGTGAACGAACGGTGGATGAATGAATGAATGAACCAGAAGGGTGAGCCAGTGAATGCACACACGGGCCGAGTACGCGTTCGAGGCACAGCGGGACCGAGCTCCGTCGGGAGAGGCCTGGCTGCTCAAGGCTGCGGCGGGCACTCGAGCCTCACGGTTCAGCCGGACGCTGGCAAGTCGTTGAGAAGGTGGAGCCACGCGCAAGGTCTCCAGGCCTCTAGTTTTACTCCAGGAAAATGGAGTCCTGCGCAGACACATGGATGACGGGGTGCGTCTTTGACTTGTGGATTGGGGTGGCAGGGAATCGCTGCTGCCCTGCGGTGAGGTGGAGGAGACACGCCGCCCTTCGTTAAGGTGTGGCGTCTGCAACACGTGTCCTGTGTCTACTTGACTAACAGCGCCCGTGCTGTGGCGAGGCCTCGTGGAATGGCCAGGCACGGGCCATTCCTCAGTTGACCCCTCGCCCGCAGGGTACGGTGGCTGTGAAAATGTGCCTCGCAGACCTGCAGCTTCAGGGAATGTCATGCTGCACTCTGAAAGCCACCCTGCACTGCACCGAGGCCAGGCTGCCCGCGGGCTGCTCCCACCCAGTGGTGGGCGCGTAGGGGATACAAGGGAGCGACCGTCTCAGGAGACGTGCGACTCCCCCCGGCTGACTTTAGCTCCAAGCCTCTCTGCCGGCCTGGCCAGGCCTTCCTGAGACTGCCCGGCATCCAGAAGACATCCAGCCCTCCGCACCCCCTCTCCTGGACTTTCCCAGTGGTCCCCTCTGTGCTCCTACACAGACATGTCCCCTAACCAACCTCCTACGTATTGTCTGCTTCTCGGAGGATTCGGACTGACACGGGGAGGGACCTTAGACAAGTTACTTCATCTTTGGGTCTCTTTCCTCATCTGCAAAATGGCGTCACCCAGGGGTGGACCGATGAATAACCATGGTAATGCCTGCAAAGCCCTCAGCCCTGCCCCAGGGAAACACAGGAGCTTCAAAAGCGTCACTCTCCTTCCTTTCACCTCTTCTCTCCTCCCTGGGAGTGTCCCGAGCCACGGGGTTAAACCCTGTTTGTGGGGCGCACCTGACCTGTGGCGTTTGGACTCAAACGGGGTCTCTGTGCAAAGGGGTCATCCTGTCTCAGTCACGGCCCTTCCCCTTCCTGTCAAGCACTTCTGACTGGGGGGAGCCCCTCCTTGTAGACCTCTCTGAGATATTTGCCCTGCCGAGTCACATGGGTTGACAGGGAAGCAGCTGCAGGCGGCCATTGGATGGGCGCGTGGCCGGCGCTGCTCCTCCCTTGGGCGCGTACCTTGTCGTCCAGTTTCCGCGCGTTGAACGCCAGCTCCACGTAGTCGTCGTTGCCAGACAGCTCCTCGGCGATCACCTGCAGGGAAGGCACTCGTCAGTGGCGGGGGGAGTGGGGGGAGAGAGGGCCCTCAGGCCAGGAGCTCACATCCGGTCCAAACTCAACCAAGACGCCGGGCCAAGAGTTTCCCCACAACCCCCATGAACAAGGTGCAGCATTTCCCGGGGTCCAAGGAAACTCCCAGGAAGAGACAGCAGTCGATAACGGATTCCATATACATGGTGTACGCGAACACAAGAGGTGGGACCCAGGCTGGAGGGAGGCCCTGAGTGCGTGTGGCCCTCTCTGTCCCTGTCACCTCCTGCCTCTTCCACCTCACTTCAGGGGCGGGCCTCGGTATGTTGTGGTCACAGACACCCTTGGGGCGTTGAAAGCCATGAGCTTCTGCAGCTGAAGGGCCTGGAAATTTCCATGCACAATTTCAGTGTTTTCCAGAAATGCAGCCAATGTTTTGATCCAAGGACCCAAGGTGAAGAGGAGCCTTTAAATATTTAAAATGCGGAAGGAGATTACATTTTTCTGGGATGCACTTAGGAAGAAAAGCTCAAGATATTTTAGGGGAAAAGCAGCAAGATAGGTTTTGCTCTTTTGGGGCGAACTGTACACCTGGGTCCACGGGTCTGTGGGCTTTGGGAGTGAGCCCTGGGGTCCATAGCTTCTAAGAGCACCATGGGGTCTGAAGACCATGTGATTCGTGCTGGAACATGGCAGTCGAGATGCAGCTTTGGCATGACAATGTCGTTTAAACTTTCAAGCAGCAAATCAGGGAAGTTCTTGTGAGTGGTCATAGCTTTTACCATGGAGAACCCCTTTGAATTTTTTCTTTAAAATATATGAATCAGTCACTCTTGAGTTAAAAATGAATGTTCAGAAAAACTCAGGAGATGCGCCTCCCTGGCCTTCAGATTCTGCTGGTACTTTTTCAACCTTTTTTCTTTTTCGTTCTTTCTTTCCCCTCCATCTCTCCCTCGGTCCCTCTCGCCTTCTGTCTCTCACCCCCTCCACCTCTCCCTCTCTTATCTCTCTCTTTTCTTTCTTCCCTCCCTCCCTCCTTCCTTCCTTCCATTCCTTTATTTCTATACAGACAAATGGCTGAGCCACTTTCTCTACCTTTCTCAAAGGCTCTAATACAAGATGTCAAAGTTTCAAACACCAGGAGTTCCACTGGAAAATTAAGGCCCTTATCGAGAAATCCTTCCAGACTTACCCAGTGGAACATTCTGCAATGACAGAAATGTTCTACAGTCTGTGCTGTTCACTATTGTAGCCATCTGTAACTAACGAGCACCTGCCATGTAGCCAGTGTGAATCAGGAACTGAATATTTATTTTTATTTAGTTTGTGATAGTTTTATTTAAGTTTAAACAATCCCATGTGGCTAGTGGCTACTGCCTCAAAGTAGCAAGAAGCGTTAAATTCTGGCCTCTCTGGTCCTTGGGCAACAGGCCGAGCATGGACTACGTGATACTGAAGACAAGCTTTAATTCTCAAAACAGACTAGACAAGGACAGGCAGCTCTGATCACTCGCGAACCCCAGGCAAGTCCATATTCTCTCTGTGCAAACCCCATCCTTTGCTGCCACCAAAACCCTCCTGCAGTTGCAGAAGTGCTTGGTAGAAGTGAGAGACCTTCCTTCCAAATCTTTTTTCTTGCCCATTTTCCCTAGGGATAGTGGGAGTCACACGGTAGTGCCAGGAAGGGGGAAGAAGAAGAAGAAAACAAGAGGCACCGTGGCCAGTTCAGCAGGCGTGACACCAGCACCCACTGGCCATAGGGCCTGCTTCCCACTCGGGGCCAGGTCAGCCGGTCCTGTGGCCCCCGGAGAGACCGCTCACCGTGATGGACGACTTCCCGGCCGTGTTCCCGTGCTTCAGCAAGGACTTGGACAGCTTCCTCTGGGACACGATCTGCACAGAGGACACAAAAGGTGACACCGGTCATGTGACGGCAGGTCTGATTTCAAAAATGTGTCCTTCACAGAATTCTATGTTCACAGCTCTGCTCGAAAGTTTGACAGCCTCTGTCCGCTCACTTCCCGGGTGTGTCCAAAGGCCTCTCCCATCCTGGGCACTCCCCTCTCCCCACGGCGGGTGATGCAAGAGAGCTCGTGTGGGAAGCCATCGACGACTCAGCCGGTTGGGAGGTGACTTAATTGTCACTGCAGGGCTGGCATCAAAATTAGGCAGCGTTGAGCGTGTGTCACGATCAAGTGAACAGAGCTTCGGAGTGAGTTCAAAGGGGTGTGGGGAGGGCGCAGAGGCCCCGGCCGGGACAGGCGACGTCCGTGTCTGGGGCTGCTAGAGTCCCGCTCTTCACACCGTCACCCAAAGCAAGCAAGTCACCAGGAAGCCAGCGCTCAGACAAGCCTCCAGGAGTGGCTAGGTCCCCTGCATGACGTGCACATGGGCAGTGACAACCAAAGTGTCATCGTTGTGGGAGAAAACCCTCTCCTTCCCTGCCCCACCTCGCCGAGGACCAAATGGAGACGCCCCCCGTGGTTCACTGAGGAGACAAGGCTAAAAGAGCTGTGCTTGTGTAGGGAGCTCAGCAGCCCCTGCTGTGTAGACGGCTTCTGTTTTGGGTGGCCCATGGTGACCCCGGCCTCCCGGGAGCAAGCTGATGTGGACCCCCTTCCTGGACCCAGCGACCCCCACGGAAGAGTAGTGACCACATCAGAAAGTACAAAGCCGCCTGTTCTCACCTACGAGTGGGAGGTGAGCAAGGTGCACAGGGACAGAGAGGGGAGCGGAAGACCCTGGGGACTCCAGAAACGGGGGTGGGGGTGAACAAATCCCTCGTTTAAAGAGCACACATGAGCGCAGGTGCTGGACTCACGCACGGAGGGTGAAGCGCTCCCATGGGTGCAGTGCTCACTGCCGGGGCGGGGACTCCCTGAAAGCCCAGACTCGACCGCTGCACAGTACATCACGTGGCGACCGCCCGTGTGCCTCTACACTGTATTTCTGAAAAGACTAGACTGCCACGAAGCGCGGGGCTGCCGCTTCTGAGGCCAGGTGCCCGACGGCGGCGACTCCATCCTGCTCACCGTCTCTCTCTCCCTCAGCCCCTTTGCTCTGGGGAGGCGAGTGCCAGGTTGCGACGGCCCCAGGGAGACCAGGCGGCAAGGAATGATGCCTGCCGGCGGCCACAGGCAGGAGCTCAGTGGAGAAGCCGCCCAAGTGGAGCTGGCAGTGATGGCGCCCTGCCTGCAGCCCTGGGAAGCGCTGATCCGGAGGCACAGGGAGCTGCACCTTGTTCCTGACATGTGGACTGTCGGACGATCGATGCTGGTTGTTCTGAGAGGTTTGGCTTGGGGGTAATTTTTAGTGAGGCAATGGGTGACAATACTGGACATGTACTTTTCACAGAACGAGGGGAGAACCCCAGCTTTGAGAGCCTCGTAGGTTTTGGTCTGTGTGTTAGCGCCATGGAAGCATCAAGAGCACACGCTACTGCCAAACGCAAGACGTCAGAGCGTCCCAGGCCAGACGGGTCTAAGGACCTTGATGTTCAGTCTCGACAATCTGCAGGGCAAAGACCGTTTCTGTAAAACATCACCTGGTGATGACTATGACAGCAACCAGGAGGGCAGTGATGGAAGCCCCCGTTTAAGGGTCATATATGACGGGGCAGATGCTGGGCTCTTGCACAGTTACGCCCTCACCCACTGCATGCCACACTTGGCGCAGGGCACCAAGGCCCCAGGGGAAGTGGGACCAGATGCGATGTCTGGCTCCGTGGAGCCAGAAGCTTCTCTGAGGGGTCTTTCAGCCCGGGAAGTGGGGGTGGGGGAGACATGTGAGTAAATGACAAAGGGTCACCTGTAAGCAGGAGCCAGGCCACACCTGACCAAAGAAAAGCAACACGTTCCATCTCTCAAACACACCTGGTCTCAGAGGCATGTCTCCCCACTATCACGGTGCTAGCCCACATGGGCTACCTCTCCTGCAGCTCCAGGGACACAGGGACCTCTCAGCCCTGGAAGAATACCCCCCCCGAACGACCAGGTAGACGCTTATAGACCACGTCTTACGAGGTCCACGGCATCCTCACCCACAAGCACCCAATGGCCACGGTTCTCACCCTTAACATGCCCAGAAACCCCAGAGTCTCCACGTGCAGGGCACAGGAAAGGCCGTCAAGAGCCAGCTCCTGCCTCTTGTGAGTGCAGAGGACAGGCAGTGTCCCGGACGCAGCCCTCCTTAGAAATGGCCCTTGGGGTCTGTGGCTGGCTCATCAAGCCAGAAACAAAACTGATGGCCACGGCCTCTGGCTTCCATCTCAGCTCCGAGGAGTGGACAACCTGGGGTCCCAAACCTTTTCTCGGCATGAAGACGGGCACGCCGTGAGTGGCCGCTGCCATTCTGTGCTGAGGACTGCTGGGAAGCCCCTCTGGACCCGCCCGGGGGAGAAGCCCACTCGCTGCCTGGCACACGCTGTGGCAGCCCCAGCAAAGGCACCGGCTCAGAAGTGCGTGAGTCTCGTCAGAAGGTGGGCAAGTGGAGTGATGAGCGCCCCACCCACTGCACTGACATAATGAGGCCAGTGTGGCTGGCTCTGCCCATGTCAGGGCGGATGGGACACACTGAGCGGGCATCCTCTCTGTTGATTCTCTCCACCCTCTCGTGGGTCCTAGCCATGAGCCTCAGCGTCCAACCGAAGGTGCCGTGCAGAGAAGGGTGCTAAAGGGTGGAAGCTTCCTTTCCGCAAGATGGAGCTGGGAGGTCTCTGACTGTGTCCACCGTGGGTCTGGGCCAACGTGCTCCTTCCCTGGTGGTGTGGGCAATAGCTGCTAACAGCTGGGACCTCCGTTTCAGGAAAGGGCCCTGTTTAAGTTAAGTGGAACAAAGCCAGGAGAATAGAACACGGTTGGGCCAGCATTTCAACAAGTGTACACGCAGCCGAACTTCCTTCCAAAGTCTTTCAAAACAGTCATTTTGGGAACTAGGCAGATGTTTCGCATGAGACTGCTGTTAGTGAAGATAGCTTCAGAATCCATTAGTGCAATTGCTGTAAGACCATCACAACACCAGGCATTTACTGAACACCTTCTATGCCCCAGGCACTGTTCACAGGCTGCGGCAATCAGAAGCAGATTACAGTGTCTTACAATGCAGAGAAATCGCTATTGGCCTCAGCTCATAACCCCAAAACATGTATGGCAGAACTTCTATTCCTTAAGGGTAAGTGCATATTACATGAAAAAGTTTTTTTGGAAATAAGTTTGGAAATCTCAAGATGAAAGAGCTTACTATCGCAACTGCGGGACAGTAACAGAGCCTCGGTCATGAAACAACCATATCTGGCCCTTAACCATGTTTGGCCCCCAGAACCCTTTCTATAGGGAGTATCTCCAGTGTTTTACAAACAACCAGGACATTCCCAGGACCACCCTAGAGAGAACATCGGCCTTCCTTGCAGAGCTGGGGGAACTAGACAGCCAGGTTAGGAGTTCCATCTTGTCCTTGGCCTGAAGGTGTTCTCTGGTGTTTGCACCTGCCGTCCACGGGCCTAGCAAGTTGGAAGGGGGAGGATTAACACACCCTGGGGTAGACCTCCGCCAGAGACTGATGGGTTGGAGCTGTGGTGAGTTAGGGGAGCTAGGACAGGTTAAGCACAGGTAGATAAATGTCTTGTGGGCAGGTCTTGGGAGGCGCTCAGACATTTCTCTTACGATGTTTTTTTGCTGCAGACCAGGCTGAGTGTGGCCTCACCAGCCGGCCCCACCCCCTGGGCCAGTCAAAAGAAAACTCCATCAGAGGGAAAAACCGGACAGCCCAACCATTCAGGTCATGGCTTAGCAAAATAATCACGAAAAATCTTTCAGGTTCCCTGTCAAAGGTGGAAGGAATACCACCCCTTAGCTGACCAAAGCCACAGAAATGATGAGAAGACCACCTTTTCGCTCAGGAACTTGTGAGCTGGAAGAGCCTGGCAGGTCTCCTGCAGACAGGATGTGTGTTCTGGAACAAGTCTTCCCAGCAGAGGCGGAGAGGGCGTCCACCCTGGAGCAAGTGGTCACCCGAGTCCCACCCTCCTTCGCACAGCAGCTGTTGTTTCAGTTGGGAGCAGAGGCACAGCCTTCCCTTTCCGGCATGAATGTTCCGCCTCTCCATCTTCCCTCTCTTCTTCTCACGAATAGACTTTGCTTTAAAACTTTACTGGTGGCTCTGAAACATTATTTCGGGGTCGAGTCAAAGATCCCATGCCTTTGCGCGGTGCCACACCCGGCATCAGCAGGGCCCGTCTGCCCCTGGGAGGAGAGGGGTGGCAGGGAGGGGTCTGCCCCAGGGTCCTGGCATTTTCCCAGCAGAGGAGGCGCTGGCTGCTGCTGGGGTGTTTGTCGGCAAACTGCCTCCGTTTCTCCTCTGGCTGTTTCCTCTCTGCTTTCCATTCCCAGCTTCTTTCCCGCTGTCTCCCTTGCCCCCGGGGGTCTGCCGGCCTCCCAACGCTGGTGGGTTGTGGGAGGAACACAGCCAGGACCCTCGCTCTGAGTCAGGTCGCACGTGAAACACCGCACACCTGGCTCTGGCTCCCTGTTTCTTGCCCCTGAATGACCAGACTTTTGTCTTCAGGGAGCTGGGGGGAGGGAGCCGAGGCGGAGAGGGATTACGGGGCCTGTCTAGGGTCACACAGTGTCGGGGGGCCGAACTGTGCCCCCATGCCGAAGCCCAAACGACCCACACGGTGCCGGTGCGTTTACAGGTGGAGTCTTTGCGGAGACAATGAAGGGCCCAGGGGTCATGAGGAGGAGGCCGCCACCCAACAGAATCGGTGTCCTTGGAGGACGCAGAAGAGACTCCTGGCCACACCAGCTCTGTCTGCCCCCTCCCTTCTCCCCTCCCTCCTGCCTTGCATACCCGCTCCGCCCCCCTTCATTGAAAAGTCTTTGTACATCCGTCAAGAT